TGAGCAGAAAATTTCAAAGGGCAGCTTGAGAAGACAAAGTAAAGGATTATAAAGAAGCATGCAAAGATCTGGAATTATGAAACCAAAAAGAAACAGGATGCTCAGCATTTCTCAAGCTAAAGAACTGAAGAAAAAATTCAAGCCTCGGCTGCTATATTGAAGGATTCTATGGTGTTAGATTGCAAACCAAAAGTTCGGCAGTTCAGATCCACCAATTGCTCCTTGGAAACCCTATATAGGGTTGCTATGAGTCGGAACCGACTCGACGTCACTTAACAACAATGAATTGTAACTGACTTGACAGCACTCGACAACAACAACAATGGCAAAATATTGAATGATGCAGACAGCACCAAAGTAAGATGGAAGGAATATACAGAGACACTCTACCAAAAATAATTGGTCAATGTTCGACCATTTCAAGAAGTACCATATGATCAAGACTCAATGGAAGAAGTCCGAGCTGCAGTGAAGGCATTGGCAAAAAACAAGGCTCTGGGAATTGATTGAATACAAATTAAACATTTTCAACAAACTGACGCAGCATTGAACGTGCTCACTCATCTATGCCAAGAAATCTGGAAGACAGATACCTAACTAACCAATTGCAGTAGATCTGTATTTGTGCCCATTCAAAGACAGGTGACTCAAATGAATACAGAAATCTTTGGAAAATATCATTAACATTTCATGCAAGTAAAATTTTGCTGAAGATCATTCAAAAACAGTTGCAACAATACATTGACAGGGAGCTGCCAGAAATTTAAACCGGATTCAGAAGAAGACATGGAATGAGGGTTATCATTGCTGATGTCAGATGGATCTTGGCTGAAAGCAGAGAATAACAGAAAGATGTTTACTTGTGCTTTATTAACTATGCAAAGGCTTTCAACTGTGTGGATCATGACAAGCAATGGGTAACATTGCAAAGAATGGGTATTCCAGAACACTTAATTGTGCTTATGAGGAACCTGTACATAGACCAAGAGGCAGTTGTCACAACTGAAAAAGGGGACACTGAATGGCTTAAAATCAGGAAAGGTGTGTGCCAGGGTTGTACACTTTCATCACACTTATTCAGCTGTATACTGAGCAAATAATCTGAGCAAATAATCTGAATTATATTAAGAAGAGTGTGGCATCAGGATTGGAGGTAGACTCATTAACAACTTGCGATATGCAGATAACACAATCTTGCTTTCTGGATGTGAAGAGCACTTAAAATACATTCTGATGAAAATCAAATAGTACAGCCTTCAGTATTGACTACACCTAAATGTAAAGAAAATGAAAGTTCTCACAACTGTACCAATAAATGGAAAAAGATTGTCATCAACGGTTTTGTTTTACTTAGATCCACAATCAATGCTCGTGGAAGCAATTGTCAAGAAATCAAACCACCTATTGGAGCTCTGGTAGTGTTGCGGTTACGAATCGGGCTGCTAACCTCAAGGTTGGCAGTTCGAAACTACCAGCTGTTCCACAGGAGAAAGATGAGGCTTTCTGCTCCTGTAACGATTTACAGCCTCGGAAACCCTGTGCAGGGTCATTATGAGTCAGAACTGACTCCACTGTACTTAACAACAACAACATATGCATGCGAAACCTGGACAGTGAATAAGGAAGATCAGCGATGAATCCATGCATTCTGATTTTGGTGTTGACAAAGAATACTGGAAGCACGATGGACAGCCAGAAGAACAAGTCTGTTTTAAAAGAAGTACAGCTGGGTTGTTTCTTAGAAGCAATGGCGATACTTTGTTTCTTAGAAGCAATGGCGATACTTAGAAGATACTTTGGACATGTTTTCAGAAGGGAGCAATACTTGAAGAAGGACATCATGCTTGGTAAAATGGAGGGTCAATGAAAAAGAGGAAGACCTCCAACAAGATGGACTGACACAGTGGTAGCAATAATGGGCTCAAACATAACATAACTGTGAGGATGGCACAAGACTGGGCACTGTTCCCTTCTGTTTGTGCATAGGGTCATTAGGAGTCAAAACCGACTTAGTGGCACCTAACAATTGTGATTCCTCATGGGTGAGATTTAGGATTATTTCATTTAACAATTTATTTAGTACTTACTGTGTGCCAAGCTTTAGAAATATTATCTCACTTAATGCTCACCACCCAAATAACATTGGGGGTGGGTGGGAAGAATGCCATTGTATTGTGTTAATTATAGGAACATACCCACAAAGATCAGGAAAGTTGATAGCTATGAAATTGGTTTTGAAAACCAGCTAAATTAATTTTACCTGCCTCTTCAACTCAGTTGTCTCATATTAAACTTACTAAATCCAGTTGTCTTTTTTTTGCTTTCTGCTTGTAATGTAAGGGATTTACATTTACACTTTTACATGGTGGTGGTGGTTGTGTGCTGTGGAGTTGGTTCCAACTCATAGCAATCCTACATAGGGTTTCCAAGGCTGTAAATTTTGACAGGAACAGGAAGCCTCATCTTTCTCCCACGGAACAACTGGTAGTTTTGAACTGCTGACTTTGAGGTTAGCAACCCAGCTCATAACCACCACGCTACCAGAGTCCTTTAAATCACCTGTATGTTTTTCCCCAGCTAGATTCGAAACAACAGCCTCGGGTTTTGAACATTTCATATGTCTCTTTTTATCTCCAGGTATAAGTAACCTCCATCTGTTCAAAATGTTATCGTACATGCTTTTGTTAACAAAAGCTATTGACTAATCATTTGCTGACCACATTCACAGTTACTAACTCTGTAGTAGAAACTCTAACTTTCAGGAGCTTGATAGTTTAGAAGAGACTCAAGGATATGTAAGGAGGAGGCCAGCACTTCCGGATTGTATTCACGTAACTCTTGCCTAACTAGTTTCTTTTACCCTTAGGTTATGTTTTTATGGAGGCTTGGGATATTTTGTTTGTGGGCATGGGTTTAACTTGTGTTTAACTTGCTCTAGAAATAACTCAAAGCTGACCATGTAGGTTGCCATGACAACCAGTACACTAAAGAGCTGCTTATGACATATTTGTAGGGCACAATCAAGAGCTGATTATGACATATTTGGGGGGCACACTTTATAAGTAAGAGGCACAGGCCAGCTGGCAGCAGACTGGGACATCCTGAGGCAGGAATAGCAGACGTGTCAGACTGTGGATCTGAACAAACCATCAATCCATGATCATGATAGGTTGGTATAATAATGTGTGTGTAGAAATAGTAAACATAATTTCTTTAAATATGATTTGTGATTATAGTATATAGATTTCGGGTTTTGTAGCAACTCTCCTTTTGACATTCCAACCTGTGTATGTATTATGTGATGAGCCCTGGTGGTTAAAAGTGCTGGGTTGCTAACCAAAAGGTCAGCCTTTGAATCCACCAGACCTCTATAGGAGAAAGATGTGATAGTTGGCTTCTGTAAAGATTTATAGTCTTGGAATCCCTATGCAGCAGTTCTACCCTGTCCTATAGATATGAGTCGGAATTAAGGAGTCCTGGTAACGTCGTTACAGTTAGCTGGGCTGCTAACTGCAAGGTCAGTAGTTAAAATCTTCCAGTAGCTCCGCGGTGGAAGATGAAGCTTTCTATTCCCGTAAAAATTGACATCCTCAGAAAGTCTTTACAGGGTTGCTATGAGTCAAAACTGACTCGGTGGCACACAACCACCACCAACACCATGCGTTGGAATTACAGTGAGTTGTGTACTATGAATATTGTTTGTATATCTACAGGTTTTGGTTTTCTGACATGTAACAGCAAAGAAAAGAAAATTCTTCCTCTTTGATGTTGTTAAGTGTCATCGAGTTGGTTCCGACCCATAGCAACCCTATATAGGGTTTCCGAGGCTGTAAATCTTTACAGGAGTAGAAAGCCTCATCCTTCTCCCACGGAGAGGCTAATAGATTCAAACTGCTGACCTTTTGTTAGCAGCCCGACTCGTAACTCTTGGTGGATTGTTTTACTATCAAGGTTTAGATTTATTTATTTATTTTTAATTAGATATCTGTAATGCTCGCGTAGTGGTTATGAATCGGGCTGCGAACCTTAAGGTCAGCGGTTCGAAACTACCAGCTGCTCCGCGGGAGAAAGATCAGGCTTTCTACTCCCGTAAAGATTTACACCCTCGGAAACCCTGTACAGGGTCGCTATGGGTCGGAACCGACTCAACGGCACTTAACAACAACAACAACAATGCTCAATTGTGATAGTCTATTTACTCAATGTATTTTTACTAAACCTTATTATCTGCCAAGGATCTCAAACTCTGAAAGTAAAATAAGCAGTAGAATGAATGAGTGTTAGGGCAGATAGGCCAGAGCTGCCACATGGCTTGCTCCTAACTCTTTCTTTACGAAGTCATGGTTAACGAAGTCATTAGAGGGTTATGAAAGTAGCAGATGAACTGTCAGGAACAAACATGGTGTGTCGATTCTAGGAAGAGGAGTGGACAGGGCTTGGGGGGAAGGCAGCTATTTGACGCTGTGGGCGTCATAACCAAAGCTAACAAAGGGGCCTTTAATGACGCTAAGGGCTTGCGTAGTACGCCTGCGTCGGCAGGCAGGACGCAGGGCATTTGCGTAGAGGGGTGGGCTCCAACTTATCATCAAAGGCGTCAGTTTTTAGTTTTTGTTTGGGCAGTAAAGGCTTTTCGAAGGTTGCAATCAAGTTGGAGGATTCGCATCGATGAAACACACAATAGATGCCCACGCCCCCATTTTCATTATAGAAGTGGCTGGGTGGCTGGTGGGGAGGGGGGCTTTTCAGCAGTAGGAGTCTGAAGCTTAGCGGGTAGGAGGTGTGGAGCCATTCCTGCTCCACCTTGTGTGGGTGAAGTTGGGCTGCGAAGATGAGCATCCCCACGCGACTGAAAACTTCAACTTCTTCTCTTCCTCCCCCCTCCCCCTATCCTCTCTCTACGCCCTCTCCTCATTCCCCACCCAGTCGACTTGCCCATATGCGAAGGAGAAACTCAGAGCTTTGAGCATTTCCGGTTAAGAAGTAGCTTCTTTGATATTGACATGTCAGAGGAGACAACGGAGCTGCTGCCGAGTTCCACCACCAACAACAGCAACATCCTGAGACGATCTAACAGCGTACCTTTAATCAGTGGTCTTGGGTGAGCAGGGTTAAGATACTGAGGGAGGAAGAGGGGCAAGGACTGCGAAGAGTGGGAGAAAGCAAAGGGACTTCCTACAGAAGTCCCATCCCAGATCCCAGCCTCAGGGGGGCGGGATGCTGGTGGGACGGGCTAGTTGGAGATTGACAGGCATCTGAACTTGAACTTCCTCCTCTTGCTGTCCACCTGGACCAGAAAACAGCAACCAACTAATATGGCACTTTACCCCATCTCGTACCCACACCCCTTTGAAGTTAACTGAAGCACCTCCCCCCACCCCCACCCCCGTGCCCATCCAGATCTTCTGTGATGTCTACTTTTGATTGTCAGCTGCTGTCACCTCTGAACTTTGCCACCTGCACACTAGGGATAGAAATGGTTGTCAAGCAAATGAGCTTTGAACCTTTTTTTTTTTTTTTTTGGTCCCTAGTTTTTATTTGAAATTAAATCTCAGGTACCACAGTTGTGGGCGAAAATTGATCGGGGGGTGGGGGTGCAAAAATTCTTTTTGTGAGATACAGGGTGGATGGTTAGGGTAAAAAAATAAACTACACCTAGCCTGCTGCCTGATTTCATAGACAAAATGCTATTGAAACATAAAAAGATTGGTTGCTGCCAAGTCAGTTTCCATTCCTGATGCTCCATACAGTTCTCAATGGCCTTTTGCTGAGGTGTTTCTAGCTGGACTTGAATCACTAATTTTTCAGTTAGCAGCTCAATACATTAAGCATTTGTACCACTCAGCCTTCAAATAGTTACTATTTGGCACTTTGCAGTGAAAGACGAACAACTATTTGGTCGATTGAATTCCTACAAACCTAGAAAAATAGCATATTCATTCAATCATGAAAAATGATTGCCTTAGGAATATGGTGACATCTATCTATTGTAGCTTCAATAGTTCTAGTCCCTTCCTTCGCCTTTTCCAAGTTAGAAGTAGCACTTAACTCAGTTCTAGATATCACTCGGGTTTATGCATTCATGTTGAATCCTCATAGTAATTAAAATGTTGTTAGGGTCATCAAATTGGTTCTAATTCATAGCACCTTTATGTCCAACAGAACAAAACACTGCCCAACCCTGTACCATCCTTACAAATGTTAGCCCAGTGTTGCAGCCACTGAACCAGTCCATTTCATGGCGGGTCTTCCTCTTTTGCCCTCTACCAAGCATGATGTCCTCCAGGGACTGGTCCCTCCTGATGGCATGTTCAGAATACATGAGATAAAGTTTCACCATCCTTGCTACTAAGGATCATTGGCACTGTTCTTCCAAGACAGATTTGTTTGTTCTTCTGGTTGTTGTTGTTAAGTACCATGGAGTCGGTTCCGACTCATAGCGACCTTGTACAGGGTTTCCGAGGCTGAAAATCTTTACGGGAGCAGAAAGCCTCATCTTTCTCCCTCTGAATGGCTGGTAGTTTCGAACTGCCAGCCTTGAGGTTAGCAGCCCGATTCGTAACCAGAGCTCCTGATATATTCAATATTTTTACCAACAGTTCAGAGTGACCTTGAAGTCCGGTGCCTATCCCATAGCAACTAACTTGCATTTTAGGCAATTGCAGATACCAAATGCATCTTAGTCTCCAAAGTGACGTCTTTGCTTTTCAAATTAGTTTTTTCAGTTAGCCTCATTAAAATTGGCAGGAAAAATCTTAACAAAGAATATACTGAGATTTACCTACTCTTGCCAAAAAAAAAAAAAAAAAGTAGTAGAAACCTATAATCCCTTGTTCTTTGAGTAGGAACCTAATGGTTGGTTCGAACCTTCCTAGCAGTGCAATGGAAGAAAGCCTGGTGATTTGCTTCTGATTAAGTTCACAGCCAAGAAAATCCTATATAGCAGTTCTACTCTGTGACACATGTAAATCTTTACGAGCACAGAAAGCCTCATCTTTCTCCCACAGCACAGCTGGTAGTTTTGAACTGCTGGCCTTGAGGTTCACAGCTCGATTCATAACCACTACGCTGCCAGAGCTCCTTAACATATTTAGGTAAGGTGTCTTATATACAAACTACCATGTTGTAAAGATGTATCTCAGAGCTCAGTAAGTTTTTACTTTAGTGAAGAAGACAAATAGCCAAAGGACTTAAATATATGGTAGACCAAGACTATGGTAAGTGTCCACCAAGATAAGTGTCCACCAGCCACTCCATGGGAGAAAGATGAGGCTTTTTTTCTGCAGCAAAGATTTAAAAGCCTAGGAAACCTTATACAGGGTCACTGTGAGTCAGAAGGTAAGTACCTAGCAAGGTACAGAAAGTGCTAGGAAAATTCTAAGAAAGGAGTGAGAAATTCCGGCATGATTACTGAGGGATAAGGAAAAGGCTCATGGGGAAGGTAGTATTGGAAATGATAGAGACGATACCCCACAAACACACACACACACACACACACACACACACACACACATTTTTTTTTCAATGACCTTACTTAGCAAAAGAAAAAAGCAACTACATGTTTATCCTTAGATTTTGTTTTAAAATTTTGTAGTTTTGAAATCTTAAAAGTCTTACTAGAGTTCTGGGGCGGTGTTGTAAGAGAAGCACTGGGCCACAAGGTTGGTTTGAAGCACAAAGTCCACAATTCACACTCTCATGCCACTCCTGGAAAACACTATACAGGGTCTCTATGAGTCACGTCCAACTCGACAGCCATCAACAACAGTCGGAATCTAACCAAAGGCACCTAACCATCACCACTAATAACAGAGGTAAAAGGGTCCCTGGGGGGTACAAATGGTTTGCACTCCATTTTTCACAGTGGCAGCAGCAATGGGCTCAAACGCAACAACAATTGTAAGGATGCACGGATCCAGCAATGTTGTGTTGTGTTGTGTTATGTTGTGCATAGATAGGGTCAATACAAGTCAAAACCAACTTGATGGCACCTAACAACAACTAGCGGGTCACCTAAAGGTTGGTCGTTTAAGTCCAACCTAGTAATCTGCTTCTGTAAAGATTACATCCAAGTAATCTACGGAGCAGTTCTCCTCCAACACACATGAGGTTGCCATGAGTCAGAGCCAACTTGACGGCAAGTTATATTGGTTATAGAGGTATTGGATTATAGACATAAAACCCAAAAGAGCTGCTCACTGACTGGATTTAGAGAACCAAAAAGGAAAAGTGTGCAAGATGGTTTCTTATCATCATCAAGGAAAGCAGGATGGAGGGTGCATGGTATGGTTTTTGCTACTTCTTGTGGTCTTCAAGTGTTTCGGAATAAAAATAGCCATAAAACCAAGAGTGAAAGGGTCACGAGCTCAGAGAGGCCTGAGGCAGGCTGGGTAGCAATGGGCAGAGCTAAGAACCTTACTACTCTTCGGTGGGCAGCCATTGTTGAGCTTTGGTCCCTCAGGACCATGTGGGAATGTGGACCCAGTACTGCAGAACTTTTCCATCAAAAACAGGAATGTAGATTATTCATGTGAAATCTCCTAGTGTTTTAAATGTACACAACAAATTCAAAATTGTTTCATACAACATAGAGGTCAAGTAGACCTTATCTGTTGAGATTCTCTGTTCTATTGAGAGTCTCTGTTCTATTGGTTAACTCTCTTGTTAATGTGAAAATTTGAAAGTCGAGCGAGATTTGGTGTTTGCACATTGTAACCCTGAGCGTACATTTAAATGAGTTGCAGGTTTACACTGAAAATGATGTATTTCTAAGGACACACTAAATTATATTTATTCTCTGTTTCCTGGTAAGCGAAGAGCCATGCTTGAGAATTCCTTTCTTTTCATGGGAATGGGTTTAGGTTCAGTCACCTAATTGTGTGTGTGTGTGCATTTTAATTTCTACATCTGTACAGCTGTCTGCTCAAAGAAGTCATTTATATCAATACCACTGCCATGAATATATTTGAAATCTTTTGTCTTTTAAAAAAAAAATGTTTGTATCAAATTTTATATGACAAACCTTTTCTTTAAATTTTTTTTTTCCTTAGTAATAATTCCCAAGTTTTCTCAACGGACTCGTTAAGAACCAGAAGAAACAATAAAAGCTTTTTAAACCGACACTATCTGGTAAGAAAATGCTTACAATGACCTCACTGGCCAAGACTTCTGCTATTGGTCTGAACCTGAGGGTCTTCAACTTGAGCAGGGTCAGAATCAGCCTGGGGGTCTCATAAAAACACAGACCTGTCTCACCTCAAGCCCAGAGTTACTACTGATCCAGTAGGTCTCTGGTAGGGCCTTAGAATTTGTATTTCTAACAAGTCCTCATTTTGAGAAATGCTGCTGTAAATATGGCTGAAGGAAAAGGAAACACATCAACTACCATTAAGATTGCGCTGCTTAAACACTGAGAGGCGTTTTAATATACCAGTCCCTCTGGCTTCAGAATTTTTAAAAGCATATTCTAACTTGGAGAGGGAAATTTGCAGACTCTCCTAAAGGTAGTTTTCAGGGTTTCAGTTTAACCTTAATCTTGCCTCTATATTGAATTATAAATAAAATGGTTCTCGTGGTGCCATTATAATGCCATCTCTAAATTAAAACACTTTCCTGCTAACTATCCTGTCAGCATAGAAAATGCTACAGTGAAGAAATGATTCCCCATATGAAGTTTTAAAACGTGGTGTCCATTTGAGTAAGAAGGGAAACAAGTTTAATTTTGGACATCTTAAATGTGAAGTTCTCGGGGATATCTAACTGGGACTGTTGGACATACTAGTTTAAAGCTCAGTATAGAGAGATGTTTAAGGAAGCCTTTGGCAGCACGTTTGCCCGATGGAATACATTGTGGTGCTGTGGGTTAACACACTGGGCTATAAGGTAGGTTTGAACCAAAAGATCGGCGGGTTCAAGCTCACCAGCCACTTCTCAGAAACCCTATACAGTGTCACTATGAGTTAGAACTGACTTGACTACGTTGTTTAGCTTCTTGTGTACGCCTTCCATAGGATCCAACTTGACAACTTCAATCTTTTGTTTCCATTTATCATGACATTGCTTTATTGTGATGGGTTTTGTTTTCCTACTGTTGAGGTGTAATTCATACTGAAGGCTGTCATCTTTGTTCTTTATTAGTAAGAACAATGCTGACTACTGCTACTTCAAGTTTTCATCCCTTTCAGGAAGCAAGGTTGTGTCATCTGTATATCACAGGTTGTTAATGAGTCTTATTCCAATATTCCAAAGAGTTTTTCATCACCATGGTCACTAGGAGTCAGGGTCGACTTGATGGCAACTAACAATAGCATCAGGAGACCACTCCACCCAAGTTGGGCTGATGAGCACTTCCTGAGGGACCACTCTTGACTAGAGCTGGCCCTTCCCCCAGACTACCCTTTGCTTTATTTCCTAAGAACTCCGGGCTTGGCATACTGTTCCCGACTCT